GAAAAATGGCAAAAAGGAGGGACAATTCGAAAGGTAGGTTCAAGTGGGAAGTTGATGTCCGAGTGGATCGAAGACACGATAACTCAAGTAATTGAGCAGCAAGGTCGTGGGTTCGAATTCCGCTCGAGACAGTAATTTTTTCATCTCAACCAATACTTTTTTTAACCTTTATTCAAATTACAAATAAATTTAAAGTTTATTCACACTACAGGTCAAGGGTTTAAGATGACCTTCTCCAACGAGAGGGGAAAAGGAAGTATTCCTTTTCCATCTAAGCATAAATAGATATCTGCAGCTTTTATTCTTACCAGCAGCTTACATGACTGAATTTAAAATATTTAAAAAATGTGAACATACAGTCTCAATTTTAAAACCTATGATTTCAAGTGGATCGAAGGAACTGACTAATTGGTCTAACCCCCTGATCGTTTTTTTAATACATCATTATAATTCAAGTCTAGGGATAGATATAGGGATAAAGAGTGATCAAAGGTCTTCTGCACCTCGATTCCAGTAGATCTATTATACTCCTCCATTTTTATAACTGACTGGCCAGCTTCAGGTTGTTAATCAACCTCCACAGCCTTGCCACCGGCTTTTTACTGTGGGATTTTGTTTTCGGTTTTTCCTCTTCTAGTTAAAAGAATCTACACCTACATAGACCCTTTCAAAAGCACGAAAGGTGTTCTGCGGTTTCCTCTTCTTCCTGACAGTGTCTGCACAATGTTTCTTCTGTCTGTACTCCTATCCGATACATATGACTTCTTAGGCGGCAGTGCCATGTCAGGGGTCTAACCAGAATTCTGGTTCTGTTGCGATTATCCTCCGATAAATCCTTTGTAAATCTTGCGGATGGCCATTCTAAAATCTCTTCGCGTGCCTCGTTCCTGGAGTAACATTCCACCTGGTCTTGGACTCATTAAGGATCCATTTTTGGATGTATCCTTTTTTGCGGCCTAAAGAATAGAGGATTCATATTGGTTTGTTATTTGGCAAACATGTCCACTTTCTTACCTCTATGCCAGGATAAGTCATTTGTGTCACTGACTTCTGTCTGTACTTTCATACAGTTCCATACTCTTTTTGCCTTCTCGCATGAGGCTGAGGGCTTGAGTGCTGTCTGATTGTCAGAGAAAATGTCCTTCTTCTTGGAATGTGTTTCTAGCCTATTTTTATTTCTCTAAAGATGCGTTCAATTGCTATGATTTCAGACTGGCAAACAGTAGCGTATATACAAAGTGTAAAGGCAGTCCGTTCCTCGGGTTCATCCCGAAGACTCTTGCTCCCGTGCCCCTATCCGTTTTGAACCCATCAATGTACAAGTAGGAATTGTCCTTCAAAGATATTCTTTCCTTTCTGGTATGATTTACTTGTACTTGTTGGTGAAGTTATATTTTGGAATAGTGGCATGGATCGGAATGCCTAATGGCATCTGCCAGTATTTCCTCCCTCGGTTTCCATTGTTCGTTGACATGTCCAATCCTTGCAGAAGGTTGACAATTTATAAGCTTGAGAACCGCGGCTCTAGACTTTTGTGTAATTACAAGTGAATTATATTAAGTTTACTCTTGTATCGCAGTTCACATATATTTTTCCACCTCGGTTTTAAACATTTATTGTCGTTCAGATCCCCTAGAAATATATATTGTTCTGACAAATTTCTTTCAAACCTATATTAAAAGAGATTTGTCATTTTAAAAACCTAGCCCGAAGATAATCTACTAAATTGAATCTTAATGGAGGGATATTCGAAATGACGGCCAGTTAGCTAATCTATCAATCGCTCAATCGCTCAACCTTAACTGTCTTATAAATAACTTTCTAATGCATAAACACTCCAAATTGATTATGCTGTCTATTTCAACCTTGATGTCTTTTGACCGAGAATGTGTCATCATAAAATGGCTGTTTGTTTCAATGCGATGAGTAATCGTTAACTCACAAAAACACGTTTAAACAATTGTAATAACTGATTTTAAGGAGTTTTCTTCCCTTATTTCTTTCGGACGCGAATCTTTATGACGTCAAAGATGAGCTTTGAAAAACATCCTTGGAAAAGAAGACTAGGAATGAAGACTTCGAACATCTTATTTCATTTTTTGTCAAACCGGTTCGTTCAGAAACATTTATTTGTACAACAGTTAAAACTTTCACAGTTTATCTGCTGGAAATTTTGAGGCCAGTCGAAACTTGAACACGTACGCTTTTTTTAAAGAAATTAGATTCATTAAAAAAATGTAATTTCAAGATGAGTAGTTGGAAAATGTTAAAATTCTTATTTATTTAGAAATCATGAGATGCGGTCTGGTGTGATGTAGGTTTCAGAAAAACATTTTCTTTATCGTGCCAACGTTTCGATCTTTATTGAGATCATCTTCAAAAATATATTTTGCATTGTATAAATTCACTTTACTTTTCCACATCCAAAATGTAATTGTTATATGTAAACAATGTTTGTAAATCCCAGGCCCTGAAGATGATCTCAATAAAGATCGAAACGTTGGCACGATAAAGAAAATGTTTTTCTGAAACCTACATCACACCAGACCGCATCTCACGATTTCTAAATAAATATCGATTAACGGTCACTAATCACCACACGTTAAAATTCTTAGTTTTTTTCAATTTTGACATTTACAGCATATGCCCAGGCCATATCATTAATGATCAAAAACCCAAGGCAGAAAATAAAATATAAATTTAGTATTATAGTAGTTGAAATCACGGACAAAACGGAGAATCTTTGAAACCGAACATTTCGCTTTTACTTGCGTTGAACATTATTCGTGGTGTACAAGAACAAACATGCCAGAAACTGATTGTGCTTAACGACAAAACATATCAAATATAATACAAATTCTAACCGCAAATCCGGCCGTGATTGATCTATGCCACGGACGCTTTTTATGCTGTTAACCCCTAGGAAGCGCAAGGACTTCGCCTTTCAAGTCTGCCGTGATGTTGAAACGACGGCCCTTTTTCCCGTTAGAGACGTTTCCGGTGGACCTGACACAATTTCTCCACTTGATTTAATCCTTCCTCCGCGAACATCCTGATTCATTAATATTATGTTGCAGACACTTCGCACACAGTTTTGTTAACTTGAAGAAGTTTTATTTGTAAAGTTTTGAATTTGTTTATCTGATTTTTTTTTAACTTTTATTATAGTATAACAGCTCGGTAAATTAAAAAATTAATTTAATAGATTTAAAAGCTTGTGGTCTTATACTATTTTCATTCTCATATAGTTCATAATTTTGATTTATTTATTTTCTGAAAGACTGGTAGACTGGTTGACAACTTCTATATTTCTAAATATAAAATATTCTGTCTATTCGGTTTTTTCTTACATAGATAATTGTGTTGCATTTAGGTATATATTATCTCCAATCCGCACACGCGTCTACAGAGTTGAGCCTATCAATTCTCAAAGTCCACAGGCATTCCAGCTTTTGTAATTGACAATAAATTATCGACTGACCTCCAGAATCACCCACCTCTTGTGTTGGCAGTACGGGGCACCTAGGTCTTATCCGTCCAGCCATCGAGTTGGGTCTCCGGTCAGCAGGTCAATTGAGCACCCAACACAGGCAATTCTTAGATCCAAAACCATTTAAACTCTAACTCAATTTTAAATACATTATTTCCTATTTACATACCATTCACTCAATTAGGGTGGTAGAGTACTCGATATACCTCCATCACCCTTTACATCTACTACACAACTGACTTCATTGAGGGTCGTTAGGCTACACACTTTCCGCCATCTCTTACACTACACATTCACGCCAATAAATACATTCACTCTCAGCACACGCTTGGTACACAAAACTATCAGTACAATCTAGTTTCCTCCAAAACTGAGAGCAGGGAATCTGATATTCTCTGTCATGCTTAAGACGATTTTCATATCGGGTGTCATCCTACACGCTATCTATACAGAGCCAAGTAGTTGTACCTTCCAATTAGGTCTTTCTCTACATCCGGACACATATGAGGGCTTTGGCGCAAAAGAAAGTTCTCGTGGCCTATCCTTAATCGGGTGATAGATCCTCCGAGGGCCACTTATCGGCAGTGCTCTTGATACGTGAGAATTTTTCCGCCGACCCGGCCTACCGACGCTTTTTCTTTTAATCGTGTTTTATTGCATTTCATCCGGGGGCAGGATCAAGGTGGTTAAGTCCGGAGGTTGGGACGTCCCGACCCTAGCCGCCTCGTCCGTCTTTGGTTACCCTCCAATTAAAAGCATAGATTCACTAATTTCGTGGTCTGCTTGTCCAATTAAATCATTACAATTAATTAAGGTTTTTAGTTGAGATGAAAAAAAGTTAATGGCACGAGCGGGATTCGAACCCACGATCTTCGGCTAGATACGCCGCTGCTCTACCACTTGAGCTATCGTGACCTCGATCCACTCGGACATGAACTTCCAGGAAGTTAACTTTTTTGTCATCTCAACTAAAAACCTTAATTAATTGTAATAAAAGCATAGAGTTGATGAAGAAAACAATTCAAAAGCCTAAATTTCTAATTCCAAGGCCTAACCTTTCTCAAATGCTTCGTTTTAAATGGATGGAAAATCAAGTGGGATTTTGACCCATTTCCGATTTCCTTGAAATCGGCCTCGGTGTGGCCTCCCATTTTATATTAGTGTTAATATTTTGTGATTTTCATTTATTTAAAGAATCTAATTGAAGCATTTCTCTGTGATTAATAAATTAACAATTTTTGAGTTTCTTAAAATCAATGGGCTGTGTTTATGTAATGGAATAATGATACGATTTTTTCCTTTTTCCTTTCTACTGCCTTAACTTCCTATTATTACTATAAGTTGAAGTTTGTATAAAGGGTTGTAAATGTCACCCCGATTATAGTGGCATAATTACCGAAATTTCGGCAATAAAACAATTTGCTTCTATTAAAGCATCAGCATTTTCAAATGATCTAAACCTCTTACTTTTTTTGTGCTTTTTATTACATAAATATTGTTAATGTTTTAGCATCAAAAATGATGCTGTGTGGCGTGGAAGACTTCCCCACTGTGCAGATTGGAGGCTTTCTCCTCAGGCTAGAAACAGATGAACCGAGGCCAGAAGTGATGGAAATTGCTCGAAAAGAGCTGAGGGAAACGCCAGAGTTGCGGGAAAGCTCCATTAAAGAGCTCAGCGCCTTGCTCAAGGGTAAGCATTTATACTTTCTTTATCCTTCAAGGTATTAAGCATGTTTTATTTTATTTATTTATGTTTTACAGAGGAAGAAACTCTTTACTCGCCATACGACCATGAAGCGTTCCTTATTAGATTCTTGCGGCCAACAAAGTTTTACCCAAAAAGTGCTTTCGAGCTAGTGAGTACTGAGTGATCTATACCTCAGATGTGTGATTTTAATGTGTTAACAAAAACATCATTTCAGGCGAAAAGATATTTTGAATTCAAGAATAAACATAAGAACATTTATGACGGTTTAGTACCATCCAAAGAACCCAATGTGTTCAGCCATGAAGTCATCAATGTTTTACCTAAGCGAGATCAGTTTGGAAGGCGAATTCTTGTACTTTCTCTTGGAAGTAAGTTTTTAGTTATTCACGTTGTGCTCTGTGATGTTCATTTTAGCACCATTCATCAATTTAGCCATCCATTTGGATAAAAAAGTTAATAATAGTGTTTTCTTCTGAGAAAAAAATTATCTTTTCTTCATCGTTTTTTAAATGAAACTCTAACCTTCATAAGTGTAGGAATGTGCAATTTTTTTTCAAGTTGTTCAACTTGAAGGGTAAAATGAATAAATCAAGTTACACAGCCAATGTTGTAACTGATATTTTAAATATTAGGTATTTAGTTTGCACCCCTTCTTTACAAACTTCTTTCGCTTACAGAGAAATGGAAGCACAACAAAGTCTGTCTTGATGAAGTGTACAAAGGCGCTGTTCTGTTTATGGAAGCTGCTGTCTATGAACCAGAAACCCAGATCTGTGGTGCTGTTGTCATCTTCGACATGGCTGGACTTTCCCTTCAGCAGACTATGCAGTTCACTCCTCCTTTTGCGAAAAGGATCGTCGACTGGCTACAGGACTGCATACCGATTCGAGTCAAGGGAATTCACATCATCAATCAGCCCTACATTTTCAACATGGTATTTGCCCTTTTCAAACCCTTCCTTAGAGAAAAGCTCAAGAGCAGGGTGAGTCGCAGTACAGTACTGTTTATTACTATTAATTGTTTAACAAACTTATTATAATTAATATTTTCTCTTCAAGATCTATTTCCACGGTACGGATAGAAAATCATTCCACAAGCATGTTGACCCCAGCTGTCTCCCTGAAGAGTACGGTGGCACTCTCGATATTCCCACAGTCCCACCGAGCGAATGGTACAACCTGATGACAAAACTGGAACAGGAATATGAAAGTAAGAATGTTCATTTGATACCCTTTACCTCTATAAACTTTTTATTAATTGATTTTTTATTGCAGAACTCAATTCTTATGGTTACAAGAAGCAGATAAAAGAGTGAGCAATTGCGCCTCGATGGAAATGATGGTTGTGCCAAGTATTTCCAGTGTCAAAAAGTGTTCCAACAAGCATCATTCCAGTATATTCAACTTCTTCCAACATCACACCTTAAATTCTATTGTATTGTCTAGTTAGTACTTAACTGAAATTGTAAGGTTAGGCAATTAGCAGTTAGTCCTATAACAATTAATATTTGCTCAAGTTAAACTTCCAATTTGTGATAGTGTAAATAAAATCTATATATACATTTTTTAAACGAAGAAAGAATAGAATGTTTTATAAAAAAAAAATAATATAATATTTATATTTGTTTTTATGGGGAGGGGGGTCATGGAATAAATCAAAAAATAAATATGGTTAATTTCAAATATTTTTGCTGTATGAAAAATGGATTAGTGCCTTATATATATATTTATAAATATAGATATGTACATATTATATCGTTGTTGCAAATGTTAAATATTGATTAAATTTATATTCTTGATTCAGTGTTTTTTTATTGTTTTGCACCATTTGCTTTTCCTGCCTATAAGGTATGCGGTAATAAAATAATCCAATTATTATTATTGATTTCTTCATGTGAATTAGGTTAATTAATAACCTGAGTAAATGCAATATACTGTAGAAAAAGTAAAGTCATCTGCTGGAGTTTGTTGTAGCCTCAAACATGGGGGGGGGGTGATCCTCTATCAATCATTCAATCATTCCAAATATAAGAAGCCGGAACACAAGTCAGCCCATACGACAAAATCTGATTTAAATGCCAAAAAGAAGAGGGCAAAATTGGAAGACAGCACACCTCAAAAACAGGAGCCAAAAAAGTCAAGGACCAGGAAGGAAATATCCTACAAGAAGGCTTTGACGCAAGTAAAACAGCTGTGGTAGAACAAGGCTGCACAGAAAGGGTCGACATCCAAATCGAAAGCCATTATGCTGGTCTAAGAAAAGTATTAGTTAAAGGACTAATTGTAACTCAAATTCAACAAATGCACTCATGGGTGGTGGACACCTGGTCATAACCTGTGTGATTCAGATCAGTGCCAACTGATAAGGGAGGCCATCCCCACACTAAGGCCAGATACAGACCTCCAGACTCTGGCAGGGGACAAGATACTCGGACCAGTTTGCTGCACCAGATCAAAAAACAGGATACTGGAAGCGAATAGGAAGCTAGGTTGAAATCCTTTAACCAAAGGTTAAACACCCACCTATGATTGTCTGAGGAGAGGCTCAACAGGAGAAGGGTACAGGTAGAGGACTTTCTCCATGGAAGGTAGATATGCAATCTCCATATTGGAATGGGAAGCATTCACTTTAGAGGAAAAGGGTGAGGAAGAGGACTCAGCAAAGGGGACTGAGAATTACATGAGGTCGCTCAAAAGGATACAAGATGAAGCAAATATAATGAATGGAGGAATATATCCCAAGTAGGGATACATCACACTTCGACTCAATGAAGGAAGGACGGGAAGTTTTAAGGGTCTTTCAGGTCAACTTCCAGCATGCAAAGGCTGCATCTGTCACACTATGAAGTTGGTTTAACAGGGAGGGTCTGGATGTCGCCCTGGTCCAAGAACCTTGGGTACACAACAGGACTGAAAGAGGAATTAAACCCCAACAATGTTCCCCCTGCTTGTATAGTATTTAATAAAAGAAAGCTGCACACTAATGCCAGAATTCTATGGTGAACTATGACAGAGAAAGAAAATGGTTAATCTGCTTGGCCTACTTCCCAAGAGAGGAACCATGTAACCCAAGCTGCTGGATGACATAGTGAGGTACTCATGTAGATAAAACATGAAGTAATCATAGGATGTGACGCAAATGCTCACCATAGTAGATGAAGAAGTTCAAACATCAACAACTGAGGTGAATCCTTATCAGACTACTCAGGGGACGAATTAAATATGGCTAATATAGGCACAGAACCACCTTTATCACCTGATGTAGCAAGAAGTCTTAGATCTGACCTTTATTTCCCAAGGGGCTGAAAGTAACATTTTAAACAGAATGTATCCAGGGAACCATCAAGCTCTGATCATAGGCATATCAGGTGTGATTTCGACACTCCCCCTCATGGAAAAAACGTATATATCAAGTAAATCATTTATAGTTTAGTTATGTAATACATATATGTACAAGTGTGGATTTGAATCTAATAAATCCAAAACCATACATTACTTTATGGTGAATAATGATATACATGTATGAAGCCAGATTATTTTTTCAGTATTGTCATATGTTATTTTAATTGTATTATTAATTTTACTACACTTTTTAATGAATTGTTTGATATAACTGTTTTGTTTTTATAATTTTTTTCCATTTGTATGGTAATCTCGTTGTTGCCTTTAATCGAACTTTCTTTCACTTAAGTCATACTATAATCAAGGAGACTGTCAAACAGTCACATATTGTCCTCAAAATGTCTGACAAATATGAAGACTTTCAAAAAATTACAGTATTTTACTTTAAAGAAGAAAATTTAAAATAATCCTACTTGAAGATTCACCATAATCTTGTCTCTATCAATAAACATTTTTAAAAAACCAGCTGTTGAAGAAATTGAAGACTTTAGATCAATTTTTAGTTTGTTCTTTTAGTTTCTAGTTTCAGCCAATATCTTTCTTTATGTTCAATTTGGCAACTTTTTGGCAATACACCAAATTTAAAATCTGGTTAAATTTAAAACTATAAAATTTCTAATGGTAAACATAATGGACAGATCTTGCACCGAAATGACAAAATTCGGGACTCCTGATTACAGGGGAGATCAAGAGATCACAGAAATCAGGTAATCATTGCCGAAAGGCAAATATGAAAAGATCCGTGGGTTTTGTTCATTTCATAAATCACTAGAGTAAAAGAGGGCACATTCGAGTGGGTCATTGGTTCAGATAAGATTAGCCACTAAAAATTTATCATTTCATAATAACAAACATTTTAAAAAAATTGAACAATACAATTGAAAACGGCAAAAAATTCGGGTCAAATTACAAAAGGTTATGTTTTTTGTTTTTTTAACCAATTGAAATTTGTTCACTATTTATTTTTTACTGAGATCAGATATTACTGAAATCACCAATAAATAATTGTAATAAAAGCAAAGGTAAATTTGAAACTTTGTGTAAATAATTATGTATTTATCACATATTGCTAATTTGCTTAAAGATTCAATTTTAAAAATTAACAAATAATCAAGTAAATGTCTTGCTTACTCATGCTGGGTGGTATGCAAGGTATTGGAACAGTTGTCATTATTGATATCATTGTTGTTGTTATTATTGAATTTCGATTATTTGATTTTGAGATCCATGGTAAGATGAAACTGAAGCTTGGTCGTTTCAGATCTTTTGATATGTTTATCCTAGCTTTTCTGGTCTGTCAGACGCATTTCCGCGTTTCGCCATCATCAGTGGAGAGTTTGTGAGGCTTTCTGAGTTATGCCCTTTTATGTGTTATGAAATGAAAAAGGAGTGTATTGGTTTGTTCCAGTGAGTCATTGTTATCTTATATTCTGTCATGTACGTGTTGTGTTCATATAGTTTTAGGTTTTTAAAATATTGCCCTTTTTTGTCTTTGGCAATGGGCTAATTAAACTTGCCCTTGTTAATGAGAGTCGTCGAGGTTTTGTGTGAGATGGCTTGCATAGATTAATTTTCAATAGGTGCCCCTAAATGGCTTTATATGTTCTTTACACTTTCTTATATGCTATCTGCTTGTCCGATGTATATTTGCACCGGATGTTTTTGTGCAGAGAAAGTCCTTCATCTTCGTCTCTATTTAATGTCTGCTTTGAATATGTCATTTTTTATTTGTGTATCTTTTTTACGTCCTGTATTTGAGAGCTGCTATTTTGTGTGTGTGCGGGTGATTTGAGTCGGTTTTTTGGTGTTCTGTTGATTTTCTGTATACAGTATGAGTTAATTTCTCCCCCCCCCCTAATTTTTTTATGGGACATTTTTGGGGAAAAAACCCTGAGGCGCGTAATGTTTAACTTTTTATCTAGTTTCTCGTGAAACAAAAACTTTTGATCTAACTCTTCACGATAACAGAATACGAATTATACTTAGCTATTTCAAATAGCAAGATATTCATTAATGCATATATTTTTATGGTTTTTGACGATGAATTCAACGGTGCAAACGGTTTTTAATTTAGGGCAACCGTTCACAATTTATTCGTAAAATTTTCCCGAACTGTTTTTTGGATAAACGAAATCTTCTACGAATTCAACCAATCACCAATTTGTTTATTTATAATTTTAATTGTATTACGTAGTACGGTACAGAAAGAAAAAAAGATTAACAGGACGCTCTGGATGTGTTAAAGTGTTAAACACAAGTTAAACTCACCCTGTATATCGAACTGCAGTTAGTTGTAAGTTTTTCTAATAATTAAGTCGAAAAAAATTGAACGGCACTGGTCCATCTACACTCCCGACTTTTTTATGTTACTCAACACTTTTCGACTTTGCACCATCTTCAGTGAGGAACCCAATAAGTGACCCAATGCCAGTTCAACATGTTTTCATCGACTCACAGACCTCTTAAGGCCGAGAAACTGTCGTTGTGTTCGGGTTTTGTAGTGAATGCGATGTTTATATGCAAAGGATTCAGGTCTATTAGTATGTTACATATGTTGTTGATGTTTACTATAAAGAATATATCATTAATACATCCGTGTATGTATATGGATAATATTATGTTATGTTATAACAAATTTAGTTTATCTTCGAAGTTTTGTATGAATATTTTTGGTAGTATGGTTGACCATTCACTCATTTATGTGCAAGTTAAAACAGATCTGTTGTTATCTGTTGCAACGTTTCCTTTTCTAATACAAGCCTTTATTTTTCTGGTAGTTTATTTGGGAAAATTTGCTTTCTGTGGTTTTGATAATGTGGTTCCATATCATAATTGTCATTACATCTTCTGCATACTGCTGTGGTTGACAGGCGAAATCTCTACGAAGTTGCCATGGCCACTCAACAACGAGAGAGTCAAAAGTTGGGGTTAATCCATGAGGACAGGCATTCACTCTTTTCTTGTCGAGAAGGACTCATAAGTGGTTCTGCCACTTGTCGAAAATCATTTTTTTCATTATGCTTTTAGCCATCGGCTCTTCTGTTTAGCGTCTCTTGGTCACAGCCCGGTATATCCTACAGCTGTCCTCATGGTTGGTACTATGTATTATGATGTTCAAACCGAAGGTGGAGCTATCTTCTTTCTAATTATCTGTAGAGCAATACTTTGCGGTCATCCCAAAATCTCAGTACCTTGGATACATATTT